CCTGCCTTGATTGGGGCCGATCAGGGCTGGGCCGGCAGGGGGCGGGGGGGACGCAGGAGGTTGGCTGGACACCCTGTCCCCAATCAGGGTGGAGGGGGCTGATCAGGGCCACAGTGCACGTCAAAGCAACCAGTCATTCCAGTTCTGGTGTTCTGGTAGCTTGGCTTTTATATATATAAATTTCTAAAGTAGTCAAATTTATAAAAACAGAAAGTAGAATAATGGTTGCCAGGGCCTGGGGGGGAGGGGAAACGAGGAGTTGTTCAATGAGTATAGAAATTCTGTTTTCAGGATGAAAAAGTTCTGGAGACCTGTTGTACAACAATGTGAATATACTTAACACCACTGTTTGCTTCAAAATAGTTAAGATGATAAGTTTTGTTATGTGCTTTTACCATGATTTAAAGTTTTTAAATTAAAAAGAAAAGATTAGCCCAACTCTTTCCTTTTATAGAGGAGAAAACTGAAGCCCTGGGAATTTTAGAAACTTCTAGTGAACTCGTGTGGACTCCAGTTACTGAGATTTTTCTCAAGTGTTCACAAATGCATTATTGTCCTCCTAGTTATTGTGATTAAAACATTTTCTGCAGAGAAAAAATTTAATCACTGTATATGGCCTAACAGAGTCCTATTTTAAGAATTCATTTGAGAATGCATAAGGCAAATAGATCACCTACTTAACATTTCCATCATTAAACCGAGAGTATGAACGGCTGGGCCCAGCATGCCCACTGAAGGCCCAAATACCATGGATTTCCATTTGGCTTGCAGGCACCTGCTTAAACATCAATAATGATAACAACCAATGTATTTTATAGTTTCCAACTAATAAATGGTAGCAATTCCTATTCGTTTTTTTATGGTTTTAAATTTTTTTTCAAAACAAGATCATAATTTAACTCATTTAATTTCCTTTGAATTCTGATTTTCTGTAAGATTTCTTCCTACCTTTGCCATGCTGCAAATCTGAGCACTTTGTTGTTTTAACTCAAAAGTAATATCCCAGATGAGGTTTCATTTTATAGAAGTACCTCTTGAATGAGAAATCATGTGTACCTTGTTTTAGCCCAGGATAAGAAAGGAGTATTTTCTCTATTTTATTTAATTACTAATCAAAGTATTGAATATCATCGTAAAAATAAAACAGGAATGTCAGATGTAAACTGTGATACCAAATTGATTTTTAAAAGGAAATTAATCATGTGATCCAGACTAAATTGTTGGTCCCAGAAATCCCAAGGATTAACTTGATGTAACTAATATGTGCATTTTACTTTTAAGCAGTTACTCCAAAGTATTAAAAATCTTCACCATTCTAATTTTCTTTGCAATGCACTGGAGGTGTCCATTACCCTTTAAAGGGCATAGTAAGAATACTGTCCATTGTTCTAATGTGATTCTTTTTCATGTATGGTCTCTGCTGGATACTAGCCCTCACTGAGAGGGAGCCTTGGACTCTTAAGGAGATGATAAAAACAATTTCATACAGTATGTTAGCTTTTATTAGTAATATAATTTATAAAGCATGGAAGTATTGAAGGCAGACAGGCTTGCATTCCAACCCAGACTTGACCTCTTTCTAGCTTTGTCAAATTATCTGTTCTTTCTTGGCCTCAATTTCTCTATGTGTAAAATCAAGATAACATTGGGTTAAAATGACGAATAAAAATGCTAGGACATTTAAAAGAGGTTGGGCAAATGTTCGTGTTCTAATTTTCTGTGAGTAACATTAGTTGTTCTGAGGAATGTTTTCCTATACATTTTTCCTGAGCCAGACCCTGACTCCCCTCCTGGCCAAGTGCAGAGAGCTGTGTGGGAAAGTGAGCCTGTTGTATGGTAGACTTACAATAGGCCTGAAGCTGCTTTCTGTCACTTCCAACTCCACCACGTATTGTTCTGCTTGATTATTTCACTTGGCAAGAAGACATTGTGCTCACTTGCATATCCTCCATGAACCTGAAGGGGCCAAGTTTGACTGTGTTCAAAGAGTTTAGCTTCTTGAAGTTTGTTCTGCGGCAGACCTACAGGGGGATTTGTCCCAGACCTCGCATTTACAGTCAAAGGCGCTCTGAGAATAATCTGATACGGAATGTACAGAATAGACTCCTTTGTTTGCCAGACAGGTGAGAGCCCTGCTTTCCCTTGTTGTGAAAACTCCGGGCCAGAAAAAAAATGACTAGCGTTACGTTAGGACTAAATGAGCTTCATTTCTTTTGTGATCGTTACCCTCATAATGATTTCACTGAAAATCCAAGAATAACAAGAGGGATTTCTCCCTTTGTGGTACTGACAAATATGAAAGTGTTTTATAATGTTAATAATCAGAGCACCCCACAACTGCATGGCAGTTTTCAATTTTCCGAGGTTCTTTCATGAACATTATCTCTCACGTGAACCAAATAAGACTGAACAAATGAGGAGATGGAGGTCAGAGAGGTTGTTTCTTGCTTAAGGTTATTTAAAATCCCCAGCCCAAAGCTTTCACTCCTGCATCATTTCCTACTCTAAGCATAAGAGGTAAATATTGAGGGATTGACTTGTAACAGGTATAGAATAGATACTTTCACTGTTACTCCATTTATTGTTTATATCAATTCTATGAAATAGGTATTAACATTGCCATTTTACAGACGGGTTTGCTCAGAGAGGCTAAGTGCCTTACGGAGGTTACATAGATAACGACAAAGGCCGTCTGTAGAGTTTCTGACTCTAACACATACATGTTCTTCATTCTGCTACACTGTTTCTAAAGAGGATAGATGGATAGCTGGATTGATGATCGAGATCTATCTATCTATCTGTCTATCTATCTGGTGGGCCCTGTGGTAGACACTCTTCCATGTGATTTTTTTCTGTCTACCCACCCACCCACATGCAGACACACTTGTTACAAATGAGACCAGTTCCTAATGGCTAGAATGATTAGAATGGCCTCCCAGAGATGCCTGGGTTATGTTTACCTGCCACAGTGTATACAGCGGGGAGTTCTAAAGTAGCACGTCTGGCAAAGCTTCACTGTCATTCCCCACATTTCAGGCCTCGCTCGTCCTTCCTACTTCCGTGAAGCAAGAGAAACCCTACCATGAGAAAGCAGGTGCACAACAGCAGCCATTCTCAAACTATTGGCCATGTGGTGTGGTGGCTAGAGCAGGAGCTGTGAAGCAAGACCACAGGGAAGGAGTCCCAGCTTTGAATTATTAATTGCATGTCCTTGGGCAAGTTACTTAACCACTCTGCCCTTCAGCTTCCTCACCTGTAAGAATGGAGTTAAGGATGGCACCTGCCTCCTGGGACTGGTTATGAGGATAAAATGAATGAGTTAATGAAAAGTGCTTAGAACAGTACCTGGCCCCTGTTCATAATAGTAGAAGATACTCAATAAATATTAAGACTTACTAAACAAATTTTACCCCTCCCCAAGCCCTCTGAGGGTTAACCCGTAGAGCAGTCCCATCACCCAGATTTGGGTACTCCTTCTGAACTTCTTGTCTTGATTCTGTTTATGTGAAGAGAAAACAATGTGATTAGTGCTCTATCTCACTGAACCACGGGTTCCCAAAGAAGGTACGTGCAAGTATATTCCCATTTATATGTACAAGGGAAGCTCACTGTTTACAGGGACTTTGGGGGACTCTTCACCACTGTATTCATACTTCCCTTCTAGCATTTCCAATAGCGTATTGTATTTATCTTTTCCCTGTTTTCCTTACTAGCCCATGAGTTCCTTGAGGGCAAAGGACATGTCGAAGTTAATTTTGTATTCCCAGACCCTAGAAGAGTGCTTGTCAGTAGTCGCTTTGGTTTATTGACTTACTGAACAAGTGGGAGAATGAGTGGATGGATGCATGGTTAATTCTTTTGTTAAGTAAATAGTCATCTCTGAATTTTGTGTCAATCTTTATTGCCACACTTTGGATTTTCTTAACGCAAGATAGTTGATGAGGTTATTGGTGATCAGGGCGTGTATTATGCAACCCCTATAAAAGCTGTCCCATAATTCTTGTTTGTTTTATCAGTCAAATAATTAGTTAATGATAATATATGCCCAAAGTACTTAGTTGTTGTGTTGTTGTTGTTGTTTTTAAAGTACTTAGTTTTAAAGGCCAGGCTCAAACCAATAAAAAGAAATGTATGCCTAAGGTCCTTCTCTCTGTATTATGTTCTTTCCCAAGCAACTGTAGGTACCGTGGGTGTATAAGATTTCAAAAATACACTTCAAAGTGTTACCACTCATAATTATTGAGTTCATATGAAACCATTTAGGAAGAATTCTTGGGTTTCAAAAAAGTATCAAGTTCTACAATGGTGCCGCACGGGAGGGAATGATAGACACTATCCAAAATACATACTTGGTGCATGCGGGCAAGAAAAGCCCAGAGGGGTGAGTGATTTATTCAGGGTCTCACAGCTCATCAGAGACCGAGCTGGCCCTGCCTTCAGGTCCCCATATTCTCAGGCCATTGGGTTTGTGGACACTGGGCCAGGATTCTTTAGTGATGTTGACTCTGGAAGATGCAGGACTGGCCCTGTGTGTCCAAACAAGCCCAGACAATGGCATGATTTCTGGAACATTAGGTCGCGGTGTTTGATCTGGGCTGGCGGCCAGTGGAAGAAGAGCCCTGTGGTCCACATTAATGCTCATGGATGTATACAGTCCATTCACCTGGCGTTTAACTTTTAAGGTGTGAGAGAAAAGCAGGTCTGATGCTAGGGAGAGGCAGCCTCAGAGGGGGACCCACACACATGCAAAGCCTTTATAATTTCCCTCTGCAATTTTTAAACATTTGAACTTTAAACTTTTAAACTTCAATAAATTATGTTGAAGGTTTGATGGAAACAAATTGTAATCAGCAACGGTTCTTTTTTTTTTTTCTCTCACAGTGGACTTGTATGTATAAAAGAATAGGAGGTCCTTTTAAACTAGGCAATGTAATAGTATACATGGTATTGGAACTTGTGTAACTTTTGTTCTTCTTTGAAATTTTTGTTTCTGCACCCAGATTCGAAGGATTCCAAGGAGAAGAATAAGATGGAAATCCTGTACATCCTGGTGCCGAGCGTGGCGATTCCCCTGGCCATCGCCTTGCTCTTCTTCTTCATCTGTGTCTGCCGCAACAACCAGAAGTCCTCGTCGCCACCCGTGCAGAGGCAACCCAAGCACGTCCGAGGTCAGAACGTGGAGATGTCTATGCTGAACGCGTATAAGCCCAAGGTAAAGTGAGCAGAGCGCGGCAGCATTTATGATGTCAGTTCGGGTTAAAGCAAACCTATAACCCTCCCCAGTTTAGAAGTCAAATGACGCAGACTCAGGTTCACAAGTGCTGGGGTTCGCTTGCAGGTAGCCGTGCATCTCTGACTGCATCTGAGAGAGCTTGCACATTCTTTCCTCAGTGTGTCCACTTCAGTGCTAGGCCCCATCGCTGCCTCCCCACACAGTTTGACTGCAAAGGAATCCTTAGGAGGCCATCTCTCCCAGCCCCTCAGGACTCAGCTGTTTTCAAAATCTCCAAGAAGGAAATTCCATACTCTTCCAATCAAACTGAAAGAGAGATGAAGAAAGGTAGAGAGGTGGAGAGAGTGGGGAGGGCTGGGGGGGAGGGGCGGGGAGAGAAAGAGAGAGAGCCAACATTATTCACTGTCAACCCTTTTTATTGCACAACAATGTACACGTACCTATCACCACTACACCGTACACTTAAAAATATCAAAATTTGCCCTAGCTGGTTTTGCTCAGTGGATAGTGTTGACCCATGGACTGAAGGGTCGTGGGTTCGATTCCAGTCAAGGGCATGTACCTCACTTGCAGGCTCTATACCCGGCCCCAGGTCATCGATGGGAGGCAACCAATTGTTGTTCTCTCTCTGGGTCTTTCCCCCTCCTTTCCACTCTCTCTAAAAATCAATGGAAAAATATCCTCAGGTGAGGATTAACAAAACAAAAAAAAATTTTTTTTAATAGCAAATTTTATGTGTCACAACAACAAAAGATATTCTTTTCACACCTCACTTAAGTCCCTTTCTCTTTGGTTTATGTGTATTTTAAGAGAAACGTTATCTTTCCTAAAATCTTTCAATGTTGTTTAATGACAGCTTGCCTTCGCCTCTGTCTGTGCTAAAGCAGCCCACTTCCTTTTAGCTGTTCCTCCACATCTTTCAACACTTGGGTTGCTCGAGGTCCTGGCACAGAACCCAGGGTCACTGGCCCTTGCCTTCAAGGAGCACATGCTCCATGTCTTGGAGCTGAAACACAGCAGAGGCTTTCTCTCCGGAAAGCCAGCCCCTCAATCCCAGGCCTCGGCAAAGAGATTTCATTTACATAATCTAAGATTCTGCATCCAAAAGCCTGTCTTTTCTTCTTAGTGCAACTCCAAAGGAACATTCATTCATTTGTTTGACAAATATTTATCTTCTCTGTGGGTTGGAGGTCATATTATTTTTTGACCCTCATAAACAGAAGCTACGTCACTTTTAACAAAGTTTTAGGAAAAAATGTCTTCACACTTCACACTCACTTAACTAATCCTTTTACACAATAAGTAGAATAGCATAATTGTGACTGACACACAGCCCTCATTTGATTTGATTTTGCTTTGCAATCGGATTTTTTACTTAAAAGGTCTTAGCATGTTTGTATTGTAAAGTCATATGTGTTGGTAAGGTTTTGAGGTTTCTTTAATGCTAACAATTCATTTTAAGTATTATTTCCCAAACAAAACCACTGTTCTCTTAAGTGTGAATTTTTACCATAGGGAGGGGGGGAAAAAAACAAACCACAGACCCGGGAAACCAGAGTTCACTAAGTGGCTTGGGGGACAGGTGTGGTGGAGGCTCATCTCCTTTGACATCCTATCTGCTTGCTAGCCGACATCGTACATCATCTATAATAATAAAAGCCTAATATGCAAATAAACCGAATAGTGGTTCCAGATGTCCTTCTGGATGTGGATGAAGCCGGGGCTGCAGCCGCAGGATCAAGGCAGCTGCTGTGGCTGTGAAGGCCCACTCTTGTACAGATTTCATGCATTGGGCCTCTAGTACACGTTATGAAACTTTCCACTTAATCTTTGTGAAGGTAGTAGAAGAAAATGCAGGGTTAATATTGTTATACATTCATGAAGTATCACCTAGTTGACCTCTTGCATATACCATGACTCTAAACTTCTAGGGCAATAGTCTTATTTCTATGGGAATCTTTCCCTGTCATTTCTGTTATTAAATGTTAAGGAGCCTTAGAGACACCAGAACTCTGAGTGGGAGAGAGACCCAGTCTGGTTACAGCATTCACTGTACAGCCACCACCCTGGAGAGGTGGGCTCCTTGTGCCATGGCAGGAGCCAGGGGGGATGTCATTTCCATGTGGGAGGACTATCCATTTTGTCGGTCAGCCTCCATCTGCAACTCAATTTCATTTTTAGTGAATGTTTCTTTTGCAACACGTGATCTCCAACAGGCACAATGTTTTGGTTTTGGTTTTATGCAGTCTTTCACGTAAAGATCTCAGAGAGCTTTGTGGCATAGAGAAAGTTACTATTTGTTGATTGATAGAATTGTCCAGAACTATATCAGGATCTTTTACCCTTGTTATCTCATATCTATTATAGAAGACTAGAGGCCCAATGCACGAAAATTTGTGCAAGAGTACCTCTTCCTTCCCCTGGCTGCTGGCACCGGCTTCCCTCCAGCACCCGGGACCTGGGCTGCCAGCATCAGCTTCCCTCTGGCCCCCAGGACCCGGGCTTCCCTCCTCTGGCCACTGGCAGGCACCCGGGACCCAGGCTGGCTTCCCTCTGGCCCCAGCTTCATCAGGAAGGATGTCTGGAATGACATCCAGAAGATGTCTGGTCTAATTAGCATATTACCCTTTTATTATTATAGACTAGAAACCTGGTGCATGAAATATGTGCACGGGGCGGGGGGGTCCCTCAGCTGGGCCTGCACCCTCTCACAATCCGGGACCCCATGGGGGATGTCCAACTGCCAGTTTAGGCCCGATCCCTGTGGCAGTCAGGCATCCCTCTCACAATCCAGGACCACTAGCTCCTAACTGCTCACCTGCCTGCCTGCCTCATTGCCCCTAACCACTCTGCCTGCCTGGCTGATTGCCCCTAACACCTGTGCCTGCCTGTCTGATCTCCCCTAACCACTCTGCCTGCCTGCCTGATCTCCCCTAACCACTCTGCCTGCCTGCCTTATTGCCCCTAACCACTCTGCCTGCCTGCCTGATTGCCACAACCACTTGGCCTGCCTGCCTGATTGCCCCTAACTACTCTACATGCCTGCCTGATTATCCCTAACCACTGGCCTGCCTACCTGATTGCCCCTAATCACCTCTGCCTTGGCCCCCACTGCCGCGGCTTCGTCCGGAAGGACGTCCGGAATGACATCCGGAAGGTCGTTCAGCTGTCTGGTCTAATTAGCATATTACACTTTTATTATTATAGATAGGTATTATTATCACTCTTGTACAAGCAGGGTATAAGACTCAAACTGATTAACTTGCTCAAGGTCAAAGAGCTCGTAATGAAAAGAGGCAAAATGTGAATATAGGACTTTTCAATTCCAGGCAAAGCCCTTCCACTTGCCTGACCCCATAAAAACGTTTTTGCAGAACAAATGATACTGGGAAGAGGGAGTGGGAGGCCAGGCAAACAACTAAATGGGATTCCATTTGGTCAGTTCTAGCTGAACACTAACCACAGGCATCACCCCAGTTGTGACAAATCCTTTATTGGCCTGAATAACAGTTGTAATCCTCAATGGTGGAGTCTGTCATGTGGAATTTGGCCAGAGCAAAAATAGTCCTCCATCCTCCATGGTCATAGAGACAAATGTTAAATATCCTGGGATAACTTTTCCCAAAGACTTGGCGATGTGAGTATTGTTTTCATCATTTTGGGGCCATTTTTAAATTGTGCCTTGCAAAATCTCCCAGTGTCAAGATGTTTTCCAACACAAGGTTTCCAATGTAGCCATAAACATCTCACAAGCAATTCTGAACCTGACGGGAAGCAGCAACGACTCAAGCAGATTTGACTGGGGCGGGAGGGAAGAAGCAACAGAAACAAATGCAGACTTTTTTTTCTTACTCTCCTAAGAGATTTGGCTCCCATCAGATTTGAGTTGTGCAGTTGTTTGTTTTGGTTCTTATTGAGTGCCTTTCCTGGAAAAAGCACAAAGGGCTTTGTAGACCTTAGAGAAAATTCCTAACTGTAAACAGCCAACCTCTGAAGCTGCTTTCAAAGGTCACCGACACATAAATATTCCAGTACCTATAAAATCTAAAAGGAAGGACACGCATAAGAATGGAGGAGGAAAAAGTCCTGAAAACAAACACCTTCCAGCATAAAATCAAAAGGACATTTGCCGGCTGGGATGAAAAAGGAAGGAAGGATGGAGGCGGGCCTTATCCTTATTTCTCCCTCTTATTTATCCACGTGAATGTGCCCTTCAGGGTTCACACTCTCTGTTTCCATCTTTCTGCACTTGCCGAGCTGCTACTATCCGCCTGAGTGTTTGGATTAGGAGAGGCTCCTCTGGGAGATGAGAAATCCGTGCCCGTCAGGGAGGGACACCAGGCCTCCGCAGACAGACTGGCTGACAGGACCTGGCGTGAGTCTCCAGAGAGGTGATGGTTAAAACTTTTGATGAGGGCGAGTTTCCTTCGGATCTGTGAGGAAAGGAAGCCGCTGGCCTGACCAGAGCGGCATCTTCACTCTGAGCCTTCAACAGTTGGGAAATGAAGATGCTCTCCCTGGCTTGACCCCCAGATGCCCTGCAGCCCTGAGAAGCCTCTTTGAGTGTCAGAGGTCTCCGCTGCTCAGAGAAGTGGCAGGCTGTGTTCATGTAATTGTAAAGGACTGTGTATTTTTATTTTCTCTTGTTCAGCCAGAGATTTCAAGCCATTGGGTGGGATTAGATAATCGCCTATCATTTCCATCTTTAAAATCTCCTGATGAGTACTCCAGCAATACATGAACGAAGGAGGCATTACAATTTTACAATCTGACTGGGTGCTTTTTTTACTTAAAAAGAGAGAGATAGAAATATCAATGATGAGAGAGAATTATTGATCACTGCCTCCTGCACGCCCCACACTGGAGATCGAGCCTGCAACCTGGGCATGTGCCCTGACTGGGAAATGAACCGTGACCTCCTGGTTCATAGGTAGACACTCAACCACTGAGCCATGCCGGCCGAGCTGACTAGGTGCTCT